AGGGACCAAGCCCAGGCCTGAGTTCAAGCTCCACAACTGACAAAAAAAAAAAAAAAGAAGTTCAGGGACAATACTCAGGCTCTGAGTTTGAGCCCTAGGGACTGAAACAAAAAGACAGAAACTCATTATAATGTACTTGCTTTCATTTTGTAAATTTTTGAGAAGCAAATGTGACTTCTTTGTATTGTGGCGGGGTTGAGTAAAATTTTGAAAACTTACGTGTTACAAGATACAGGTTGCTCCAAAGACCTCGGAATCAAAGCAGACACCCTGAAAACATTATAGTAAGGAGTAGGAGAAACCCTGTCTCCTTAGCACAGGATGAAATTTTCTTAATAGAGACCCAGAAACACAACAAATCAAAGAAAGTTTGGGCAAATGGGATTGCATGAAGCTGCAGAGATTCTGCATGGCAAAGGACATAGCTAGCAAGACCAATAGAAAGCCCATGGATTGGAAGAAGATCTTCATTAGCAATAAAACAGACAAGGGTCTCATAGCTAAAATATACTTGGAACTCAAAAAATTAAATCCCCCAACAATAAATCCTCAAACAAACAACTGCCCGATAAATAAGTGGGCTACAGACTTAAAGAGAAACTTCTCTGAAGAGGAAATAAGAATGGCCAATAGACACATGAAGAAATGCTCAACCTCTCTAGCCATAAAAGAAATGCAAATCAAAACATTGGGATTCTTATCACTCCAGTTAGAATGGCTATAATCAAGAAATCTAACAACAGATGCTGGTGGGGATGTGGACAAAAGGGAACCCTACTGCATTGTTGGTGAGAGTGTAAACTTGTTAAACAACTTTGGAAAGCAGAATGGAGGTTCCTCAAAAGACTCCACATAGAGCTCCCCCATGACCCAGCAATCCCACTTTTGGGCATTTACCCAAATGATCACAAACAAGACCATACTAAAGCTACTAGCACAACTATGTTTTTTGCAGCATTATTTACCATAACTAAGATATGGAACCAACCCAGATGCCACTCAGTAGATGAATGAATCAAGAAAATGTGTTATATATATATATATATATATATAGAGAGAGAGAGAGAGAGAGAGAGAATAGAATTCTATGCCTCCATCAGAAAGAATGGTATTGGGCTGGGAAGTTGGCTCAGTGGTAGAGCGCTTGCCTTGCATGCATGAGGCCCTGGGTTTGATTCCTCAGCACCACATAAGCAAAAAGAAAAAAGCCGGAAGTGGCACTGTGGCTCAAGTGGTAGAGTGCTAGCCTTGAGCTGAAGAGCTGAGGGACAGTGCCCAGGCCCAGAGTTCAGGCTCCACGGTCGGACCCAAAAAAAAAAAAAAAAGAAAGAAAGAAAGAATGGTATTGCCCCATTTGTTAAGAAATGGAAAGACTTGGAAAAAATTATATCAAATGAAGTAAGCCAGGCCCAAAGAAACATAGGTCCCATGGTTTCCCTATTTGAAATAACTAGGATATGTCTGGGACAAGCAGAAAAGGTCAAAAGCTATGTACATATGACCAGATAAGATGATGTTAAGCGAAATGAACCCCAACATAGGGACACAAGTAGTTTTTTCTTTCTTCCTATTGATTCTAACCTATTTATAATGTACCATGTGATTTATTTTTTGTTTCTTTGTATGTTCCTCCCCCACAGTATAACCCCTGTTTTCACTGTATTTGATGTTGGTGCCCTGCATCTTGTATATACATACACTTCTCTGATTTGGGGAGGGGAAGGGAAAAAACAAAATGCTTAAATAGGGATACAGGTTGACCCATTGTAACAAAATGTACAAGACACTATGTTGAAAAATGAACTTTACAATTTAGGTGGGGGGTGGGGTGGATGGTGGGGAGAGAGTATAGTTGTGGAGGTAAGAGGGAAGGGATGGTAGGGGAAAAACAAGGAAGCAACAATGCTTGATAAGAAATGTTCTCATCTTGCTCATATTATTGTAACCCTTCTGTACAGTATTTTTACAATAAAAATGTATTTTAAAAATGGGCTGGGAAGGTAGCTCAGTGGTAGAGCGCTTGCCTTGCATGCATGAGGCCCTGGGTTCGATTCCTCAGCACCATATAAGCAGAAAAATTTTTTAAAAAAGCAGGAAGTGGTACTGTGGCTCAAGTGGTAGAGCGCTAGCCTTGAGCTGAAGAGCTGAGGGACAGTGCCCAGGCCGAGAGTTCAGGCCCCACAACCGGACCCAAAAAAAAAAAAAAAAGATACTGGTTGCCCTGGAATACAAATAAATTAGGTTAATAGTGTCTTGTCAATTATCACAAATGTAGATTCCGAAAAACCCAGTATAAGATCTAATATTGCTTATTTCTATGACAACCTGGAGGAAAACTTAGAAGAGTCAACACCAATCCAAAGTCAAGAGACTTGTAAATATTCCCCGACAACTGCACTTAATTACAGAATTTTCTTACTTTTTGCAATTGTTGAATTCTATTAGAATATAGGCCTCAAAGTTTCTAATTATTGCCTAAGGACAATACTGTAGCAATCTTAAAGGAAAACTGTTGTATTAAAGACTGTAGAGTCCTTTTCTAACCTAAGCACTGCCCCATTTATGTTACGTTTGTACTGCTGTAGTGTTAGTAAGTATTATAAGATGAGACTGGATGTGGGAGTACATGCATGTAATCCAAGCATGCAGAAAGCTGAGGCAGGAAGATTGTGAGTTGGAAGCCAGAGTGAAGTACACATGGAGTTCCAAGCCAGACTGAGGTATATATATATACATACATACATATATTATCAAGACCTTGTTTAAAAAACAACAACAATGTATTGTTAGATTAAAATAAAGCACATTAGGGGGCTGGGAAGGTGGCTCAGTGGTAGAGGGTTTGCCTTGCATGCCTGAGGCCCTGAGTGCGATTCCTTAGCACCACATAAGCAAAAAGAAAAAAGCCAGAAGTGGCACTGTGGCTCAAGTGGTACAGTGCTAGCCTTGAGCTGAAGAGCGGAGGGACAGTGCCCAGGCCCAGAGTTCAGGCCCACAACTGAACCAAAAAAAAAGCACATTAATCTTGCAGTAAAATGATACAATAGAATTTTGATTGCAATATTTTGTGTAAGACTGAAACCATGTACGAATCTTTAGTTACCCATATGAAAATTGCAAACCAGCACAAATTTGCCTTTGTCAAGTTTGCAACAGTGTAATCCAATAAAGAAAAATGTATTAGTCCCAATCACTTCTGAGGGTCTTAGAAATTTAAGGAATAACAAAGAGAGAGGTGCAGTGGTTCTTAGTTGAGCAGAAATTCCACAGGCAGTTTCATGTTCAATCTACTTCTGAGGAAGGAGAAAAGGAAGAAAGCAAAGAACAAATAGCAGTATTGATGCCTCCAAAGGAAGCTTGAGTTTTTCAATATAATTAGGGGCTTAGCTAAAGGTATTAAGTTGGTCTTAGAAATTTTACAGCTAGGGGCTGGGAAGGTGGCTCAGTGGTAGAGCGCTTGTCTTGCAAGCTCGAGGCCCTGGGTTCGATTCCTCAGCACCACATAAGCAAAAAGAAAAAAGCAGGAAGTGGCGCTGTGGCTCAAAATGTAGAGCACTAGCCTTGAGCTGAACAGCTGAGGGACAGCACCCAGGCCCAGAGTTCAGGCCCCACGACCAGACCCAAAAAAAGAAAAGAAAAGAAAAGAAAATTTACAGCTAGTGTAGTAAATCAAAAGTGAGCAACTGATATTTACTTTCAAATACCAATTTAATATGTATGGAGAATAAGAAGTCAAGAGTTGTCCAAAGGACATACTGCAAGTTTTCTGAGCAGTGCTCTTTAGTGACTCAGGCTTGTAATTCTTGCTGCTTCGGAGGCTAAGATCTGAGAATCTTGGTTAGAAGTCAGCTATGGGCAAAAAAGTCCATGAGACTCTTATGTCTAAGTACTCAGCAAAATGCCGTAAGTGGAGGTGTAGCTTAATTTAATCATCCTAGAGCAAAAAAGCCAAGGAAGTGTGCAAGGTCATCAGTTCAAGTTCCAGCTCCAACACAATACAATTTTCTGTTTTTTAACTGAAACTTGTTCAAAAAAATTAAAAGATTAAATTTTACCATATTCCGAAATGGTCCTCACTACACCCAACACATGGGTAGTGGCCAGCAATGGCAAAGTTCTTCACCAACAAATCTATTCCAGCAACACCCAGATTTTGTCTTGGGTTGTAAAGAACAGAAACACTTTTATTCAACACTAAGTACACTCAGCTTTCATCCAAGTTTCCTACCCTGCCCAGACCTGTGAAAAAAACTGTTATTGTAAGTTGGCAATTAGTAAATGAATGCAGAGGGAAATGTCCTCTTTAGAAGAAATAAAAGCCACATGGCAGTTTTCAATCTATGTAAAGCCTTGGGAAATGTTAAAAGGAAAATCACAAAAGAAAAGTCATCACTGAGGTGGGAAAGGTGGAGGAGAAACTGGGGCTCAGACATTTTAAGATTAGAAAAAATACTCTATATCACTGTTCCCAAGTTCCTCGCCCATTTTATCAAGTTCTCACCGGGCTTTAAGCTGACTTAAATACTTCCTCCTACACATTCTCAAAAATAATTCAAACACCTCTGTAGGCTTCTATTCAGCACCTATCTTCAACAGCATCTTTTCCAGAAACGGATTCCATTCCCATCGTTCATTTCCTGGAGAATATTCATCCAATGTGTGATTTTACTTGACTTCAGCTAACCCTAAACCACCTACAACCCTAAACCACCACTTTCCCTTCTAGCAAAACCTTACCAGGTTTCTTCTTTTTTGAAGAAGAAATATGGCCTAAATGTCTTAAGACAGGCAAAGCCAAAGTCCCCATTAAAAATGAAATCGACTCAACAAAGGGGGTGGGGGAGAGAGAGAGAAGAAAGGAGGTGGGGGTGGGGTAGGGTGGGAGATGAGAGTGTCTTCGGAAGGAGAAGCTGCCGGAGAAACTTCTGCAGTTGAACGATGTAGGGGCAGAATAGGACTAGGATGGAAGCAAACAAAGGTGGGCTCCCCACTCCCCTTACCGCCGTAGAGCCGGAGGAGGATGCAATGTACACACGGATCACCATCCTGGAAACAGCAGTAGGCGATTGATTGTTGGGGTGTTGGAGCAGCTACAGCGACGGCTGGAATGAAGCTAGGGGCGGAACCCGGGTGGGAGGACGAGAAGGGCGGGAGGCTGGGAGGTGGGCGGGGCAGGCCAGAGCCTCGCCTCCACTCCCAGCCTTTCAATCTGCTCGCTGCGCGGCAGTCCCAGCCCCAAACCCCGGAAGACTCCCGCCCGCCCGTTTGCATCATTTCTACATTGTTTTTTTTTAATCCTAACACCCCCCCCACCACCACCACCACCAAGTAGAAAATCTCGAACTACACCGCGAGATTTGTTTAAACAATTCTTTTTTGACTACTCCCTCCCCCGGGGGAGGTGGGGTGGAGAAAGAAAGAAAAAAAAAAAGAAGGCTGCACTGAATTGCATTCAATTCGATTCGACGACTTCTCCCAAGGACACTGCAAGTTCTGCTCGGTTACTTCCTGCTCCGCAATCGTGGCAGATCTGGAGATGTATTTTCCCGCGACAACGCCCTCCGTATTAAGTCCACAAAAATCCTTAAGAAGATCCATGTTCTCCAAGATTTGCAGATTTATTAAGACTCCTGTAACGTAGTTATTTTTCTGAGGTAGCTCTTTGCAGGATTTGGGCACTGAAATGCCAGTCTGGAAAGAAGTGTCACGTTTCCCTAAGCCCGGAAAAGGCGGGATTGGCTTTCTTTTTATTGTTGTTGTTGTGTTTTGTTGAAATAGGGAAACCATATTTCTGTGGAAAATTACGCAAACCAATTTGGTTGCCAAACCAAGAATGGAAAAGGAAATTGCGGACAAAAAATAGAAAATACCATGTAAGAAGGTTTTTTTTTTTGTTTGTTTGTTTTTGGATAGTCCTGGGGCTTGAACTCTGGCCCTGAGCTCTATCCCTGAGCTTCTTTTGTTCAAGACTAGCATTCTACCCTAGCGCCAATTCTGCCTTTTTGTTTTTGTTTTGTTTTGCTTTTGAGAGGTTTATTACACATAATACTGTCATGGATTTTTCTGTCCGGGCTGGCTTTGAACTGCTATTCTCAGATCTCAACCTCCTGAGTACTCAACTAGATGATAGGACTGAGGCACCAACAGCCTACTTGCAAAAGTATTTTCTTTTGCCTTCTAACTGGGTGAGAAAATAATTTGTAGGATATAGATCAGGACATATTGAAATCGTGAAGAGAACATATTGGTTGCTTTAGGGAAATAAGCAAATTAATTCATACTATCCAGAAAGTCACCAATCCCAATTTTTTACTTTCTTTTTTTGAGTTTTCCAATGTCCTTCTATGATTCTACTAGCTTTGCCTAGACCCAAAAACCTGAACAGATAGGTACAATTCTGGCAACAATGTAGGCTGAAATACCTAAGATACTTTTAAAGTACTCCACCATAATCTTAGCAAATATACAACTTTTTCCATGGCTCCACCAAACCAACTTCCTTACATAATCACTCTTGAAACCTCACTGCAATTACCATGCTTAGCCCCACTTTCATGCCTTCCATCTTTTAGTCCCTGCCTTCATCTTTTCTCCAGACCTTCCTACCCATTTGTGACCTGTCTATCTATTTAACTCAGCCTTCTCTACACACAACTCAGAATATTTTAAACTATCAGGCGCTCTTTGGCAGGATGATATAGTTACTATTATTGATAATATCAGGTGTTAATTTCATTCCCTAGCCCACAAGATAGAAAAATCTGCCTTCTGGTATTGATTTGGTGAAATGGAAATAATTTGTCTTATACTACCATTGTACAACTTGCCATCCATAGTCCACTTGAACTCTCTTTTTACCTGTTAGCCTCTTTTAAAATAGTGGAAGAAATAAACAAAAGGAAAGCAAGAGTCCTTATGTGTATTCTGTATACCTACAGGATGAAATTAGTTATATCTAGAAAATTCAATGGTAATAACAATGAGATTAGTAGTATTTCTTATCTGCACTTTGAGAAATGAAAGGATGATTTTTTAGTTTATTTCTTTTAAATACAAATGTGTTAGGATTGAGGATATAAGCCCAGGGTTTTTTCCCCAGTACCACCCACAAAATATATAGATTATTTAAGTGAATTATCTAAGTGAAAATATCCCATACATTTATTTATATATAAAATCCACTGATTCTTATTGGCAGGACTTGGAAATCATTTCATAGATTGGGACTCTTCCAATATTTCTAATGTAGATATTAACATTAGTCTAGCTTCAAACTGCCTTCAGCCATACCTAGAATTCCTTAATGCTCATTTTTTACACAGCAGTCCCCTAAAATCATGTGTTTATATAATTTAACAGTAAAGGTTAAGGCCTGAATACAATAGAGCAGATCAAAGAGTATTCAAACAGTACTTGTGACCTATTGCCATAGAAAACATTTATTGACCAAATATTAATACATTTTAAAAAAACCACCAAGTAAGCCCATGCTGTATGTAGAAAAATCAGAAAACACTAGAAATTAAATTACTCAGGTTACACACAGTGGCATATGCCTATAGTCTTAGGTACTCTGGAGGCTGACAAGAGAAAAATAGCTTAAGTTCAGGAGCTCAGGACCAGCCAGGTAACAAAACTTATCTCAAAAATAACTGAACTTGGCTCATGACTATTTTTATCTCAGCCTCTCTAGAGGAAGTAATTTAGAGGATTCCCATTTAAGACTACCCTGGTTCAAAGTTAATTAAGCCTGGATAGTTTAACTCTCATTTTCTGCAAGAGAAGCAAGAGATATTTATCTAGTTCCATTTCTTCCTACTTCAGTCCTGTTATACTAAAATAAATCCTTGCTAAAACTTAAAAAAAAGGTTGATGAAATTAATTAATAAATCAGTGGGCCTGGTATTCTACAGATGTAATTTCATTCGTGCCAGAGGCATACATAGGAGAATTACCTTCCAAAATTCCCCTGGGCAAAACTCCAAGACTGTCCAGAAATTTAACTAAAGTAAGAAAGGGCTGGAAGCACAATTATTTAGTGGGTTCAGGGTTCTGATCACCTCCAAAAAGTTAAATTCGTCATTTGAACCACCAGAGGGGGCCACTCATCTATGGAAAAGAAACATACTTGGGATTGGAAAAGCAAGGCTTAATGAGACTTGCTAAGTCATTTTTAATCACTTCTGCACCGAACTCCAACAGAGAAAGTACTTCATTTCATCCATTGTTACTAAGTAGTTATCATGAAAGGTCAACAGAATCAATAAGAGCAAAAACTGTTCTCAAATCTTCCTGACACTTGGAGTAAGGACGATTGACCCACTCTTCTTTCATTAAGTGTGGCTGACTTCAGAAGGTTAAATTAACCCACTTATCAAGACATAACATAAAGATACATATTATTTCTTCCAAAGAGAACCCTGCTTTGAAATGTTACACACACACACGCACACACACACACACACACACACACACACACACACACACACACACGATTTAGACAAATCTGAAAGAAAATAAAACACTTAAAATGTCATTCAGCATAGACCCTCTATGGTCCTCCAAACCCTACCAAAGTAATATCATCCCACCATCCTCCAAAACTTCTTTATGAACGAACCCTTCCAGTTAACCAATTACCAATTCCTGGGCCATTCCTGTCTCATTGACCCACCACAAAACATGTGGAAACCATGGGACCTATGTTTCTTTGGGCCTGGCTTACTTCACTTAATATAATTTTTCCCAAGTTTTTCCATTTCCTAACAAATGGGGCAATGTCATTCTTTCTGATGGAGGCATAGAATTCCATTGTGTATATATACCACATTTTCTTGATCAGCTATGGTAAATAATGCTGCAATAAACATTGTTGTGCTGGTAGCTTTAGTGTGGTCTTGTTTGTAAACATTTGGGTAAATGCCCAAAAGTGGGATTGCTGGGTCATAGGGGAGTTGCAATGCTTGGTAAGAAATGTACGCATTATCCTGCCCATGTAATTGTAACCCCTCTGTACAGTATCTTCACAAATAAAATAAAATAAAAATAATAATTAAAAAAAAGATAATACGAACATGAAAAAAAAACATGTGGAAAAAAATCTTTTAGGAGAACATTCTAAGATGTGTCATCTTCTTTTCTTTGATACCAGTAATTCCCAGTTATAAACTTATCTCTGAGCTTGTAAGTAGTAAAACTTCCCATCAAGTTAAAATTTCCATTTCTGTATTTCTCTTAAGCTTTGATCTCTAGAGGTCTCTCCTTTAACTGTTTCAGGCTGTCTTTTTCTACATCTACAAAGGATGGCCCTGACATTAGAAGACATAATCCAAGTATTGTGTGACAAAGTATGATGCAAAGTAGTGTGAAATTCTCATTTTGAACCCTGTATTTGTATTTTAGTCTACCTATTTGATGTAGAATTATATCTCTTTACAGTTTTAATTTACTATTCCTTGATTACTAAGAATCTGTACCACTTTCTATTTTCAATCTGTGTTTAAATTCCATATTAACATATATTAACTGAATATATTAATTGGATTGAGTGTTATATTTCAACATAAACTGTTCGAATATAAATACCTTCTTTTCCCAGGTGCCAGTGCCTCATGCCTATAATCCTAGCTACTAAGGAGGCTGAGATCTGAGAATTCTGGTTCAAAGCCAGCCTGGGCAGGAAAGTCCATGACTCATCTCCAATTAACCACCAAAAAAACTGGAAGTGACACTATGGTTCAAGTGGTAGAGTGCTATCCTTGAGCTGAAGAGCTCAGGGACAGTGTCCAAGCCCAGAGTTCAAGCCCCATGACCGACAAAAACAAATAAATAAATAAATCCCTTCTTCCTAATCACAAAGAATCACTCATTTAATGTCAAGTCTAGTGTCTGAGCTTCCACATATGAAAGCTATGTCCTTTGGATTCTGGTTTACTTCATTCAGTATAATGTCCTCCATTTCTCTTTATTTTACTAGAAATATCAGGATTTTATTCTTCTTTATGACTGAATAATATTCCATTGTGTATGCATACCACATTTTATCTTTTCATCTGCTAATGGGCACTTAGATTAATTCCATATCTTAATTTATGAATAGCACCACAATAACCATATGTATCTGAAGCATA